TGCTGATAGCAGCCATGTCCAGGGAAGCAAGAGGACCAGACTAATGTCAGTAGTGTCATGGCATCACGATGAAAAATCCCTCCCCTTTTCTGTTTTGCGGGGGCTTGCATTGTGATTGCCATACAAGGGGCAAATTTCTGTAAACCCTGCTGGCTGTTTGGTCTGTGGTTAGCAATGTCCTTTGTAACTCCCTTTTCACTCTTCCCCTTCATGTCTATAGTATGCATGTTGGATGCTGTGCCAGCCCCTGAATGGAATTGCTCTGTGAGAATGTGTATTTTACCTACAATATGAATTATGATTTATTTAGCTTACTAGTTATTGAAATATTTGTGCAGTCAGATTTTATCAGTTTAACGTACATTAATTTTGTACTGAATGGCTCTCCCTCACCACACCCCATCTCAATGATTCAGTTGAAATGTTACTGACGTTCATTGTAAACCTTTCTTGTTCAACATTATTTGGTTGTTGTGGGTGTTTTAATATTTTGGTATGCAGTTAACCACTTTGAGCTTCCTTTTGGAAGAGTAAGTAGATTGCAAACACAGAGATTCAGAACCAATTTTATCTGAATAACAGTGTTGTGGCAACTTTGAGCTGTGTGGACCTCAACTCCGAGAATTCCCTGGCCAGTATGCTGGCCGGGGAATTCTGGGAGTTGAGGTCCACACAGCTTAAAGTTGCCGAGGTTGAGAAACACTGCCCTAAAGTGATAAAATCCAAGAAAGGTTTTACCAAATCATCTGCTTAAGGAGTATTGTTCTCCGGCCAGATGAGTTCCAGAAACTGATCAGTCTGAAAAATATTTCAAGCTCTTCATGGCTTGTGAAATTGGTCTTAGTTCTTCTGGCCAGGCTGGACAAAAGCTACAGCCCCAGCATCTCAAGTCGCTATTACTCTCTGGATAAAGGGACCCTGACTTAAGAAACCTAACCATAAGGAAATATTTTAGAGATGCATTTTCCCTATTTAGTTGCACTACCTCACCACTCAGTCCCATTAGTGTACACTGGCAAGTAAGCCTCACTGAATTCATTGGGACTTACTTCCAAGTTAACAGCGCATAGGATTATAGTATTAATAGTGCCCCAGATCTATTGTTTAAATGGCTATCCCTGTCTTATGTCACAGTAAATTTACTTGTCATGTTGCAATAAGGCATTAGATGCCAGTGATTCCTCTCTCTTAGTCCTCAGCTAAGTATGGCACCTTCTGGATATATTTGAGTCCTAATATATTACAGGTAATCCTTGTTTAATGACCACAATTGGGACCGGCAACTTGGTTGTTAAGTGAAGCAGTTGCTAAGTGAAACCGCAGCTGTGCTTATGATCTTACTTCAGCTTTCCTTTGCTTTATAGAACTGCAAAGGTCGTAAATGCGGGGACTGGTTGCAAAGTTACTTTTTCATCACTGTCATAACTACGAACAGTCGCTGTATGAGGCAGTTGCTAAACGAGGACTACTGTACCGTTAGTCCCATGTGACAAGCATCCCCATTATGCTTCATGGCCTTTGCCTCTTGTTGTTCTCACCCTGTGCAACCCAAATGCTTGAGCATTTTGCTCAGGAAGCAAATCTGGAGCTCCTTGACAGTGCTTTCAACAAATCATAATCTATCCCAAGTGAGTAAGTAGTAGAGAACATCAGCAGATCAGCTCTTCTGCTCCTTGCCTCAGTGATGCCTGTCATTCTAGTTTATAGCTTCCCCACTTCCAATGCTTCATGAATTTATAAACAGCGCGAAACAATAAGCTAGAGGCAAAGATATTTAAAGCATCCCCTCTCCCACTCAACTTACACAGTGCACAAATTTATGTCCATTTATTTGTCCGTTGGTTTGCGAAGTATTCACTGGGGTAGCCTGTTACATGAGTGAGTACAGCAGACAGACTCCTTTTTGCTGAGGAGCCAAAAATGGTAGACGAGCATTGATGGTAAAGTGTATTACCTATGAATCTTGCAAGTGCCATGAGGATGCTGGGTTTCTTGCTAACTTAGCACTGTTCCTGGGCTTATCTGTATGCCTGGCTGGGAGACACCTGAGCTGGAGGCAGCAGAGGGGAAGTAGGACATGTCAGCCAGTCTGTTCAATGGAGGCGAAAATGTGTAGCTCAGGGTTGAACTGTGGAGTCCTTGGGGCTGTCTGAGCTTGGTTCTTTTCTTGCAAACGTTTCATGACCCGGCTAGGTAACATCTTCAGTGCTAGAATGGGATGGGGTTTGCTCTCTTATTATATGCTGTGGCCTGCCTTGCCAGTGCTGGTGGGGGTGGGGGTTTTGTTTTGCTCCTCTGGTAGTTCTAATCAATGCTATGCTAATCAAGGAACTACCAGAGGAGCAAAGCAAAGCCCCCACCCCCACCAGCACTGGCAAGGCAGGCCTCAGCACATCAATAGAGAGCAAACCCCATCCCATTCTAGCACTGAAGATGTTACCTAGCCAGATCATGAAACATTTGCAAGAAAAGAACCAAGCTCAGACAGCCCCAAGGACTCCACAATCTGTTCAATTTCAAAACTCAGCCACAGACTCTGGAAGAACCCTTGTTCACTGTAGCAGAAATGAGAGAGATGAACACGATCTCATTTTCAAAGATGTAAAGGAAGCACGATATCTAAGATTTAACTGAGGGATGTTATTCTTTTATAGCCAGAGATGTCTGAGTACAGGCATATTGTAGGATACACTGTCTCAGTTGCTCCAATGTTAATGTGATAATTTAAAGCAGGGGTACAGCCTGAGTCTCATCGTCAGCCACAAGGGCCTCCCTCTCCAAAAGTTACTACAAATTTGTAACATTGAATGTCTTAAAGAAAACAGTGATTAAATACAGGACTAGCAACTGTGTGGGCTGTGATTAATCTGATTTAGAGTTGAATAAAATTATAAAAAATCAGTTTTTGTTCTGGCCCCACGTATTTCTTCATTCTGGCGCTATTTTTTAAGGGCCCGCCACTCAGCATCCCTCAGCCTGAAAAAGTTGCAGATCCCTGTTTAGAGTCACACAGCATCTACTGTAGTTGCTTCGTAGAAAATGTTCTAGTCTACATGTTGAATATCATGAGCACTTCTGAGTTACAGCAAAACAAAAACTGGTTCACCTCAAGTGCTTGTAAAAATAGGACATTGTGACCTTCTTTTATAGGGAAACAAAACTTCATCCTTCGTGCATCATCATCACTCTTTCGATTTAGGGCAACCGATCCGTCATAAAGGATTAATAGATATTTATTTTTAACTGTATAATAGTGGACTGACCTCTTTTCCTAATCATTAGAATTCTTTTCAGCCGCCCTTCTGGCTTCTGAAATGTTATCAGGTGTAATAGCACTTCACAGACATCAGAGCTGGAAGGCTGATTTTTTAAAAAAAGAAACAATGGAGATGAATGCCTTTGCTCCTCCATAGAGCCTCTGAATTGTTCATATTTATTTGCATGAGGCTGTTCTTTGTGCTCTATGTGGGACAATGTGTTGCGGGGGAAGGGGGATTACACAATAGCGGGGGGGGGGACATGATCGACATGTGGCTGGAAGAGTTGGTAAATAGAGTTGTATTGGCACAAGTAGGTTCAACACTTCCAGAAAAAAAAGAGGTAGAATTGCCAAACAGTGGTGGTTGGAGTGAAGTCAAGGCTATCCTGAAAAATGAAAGTAGTGGCCACAAGATGCAATCCAAGCTCAACCTGTTTTTATGTGTGTCGTCTGTGGAACGCTCATCAAAACCAAGCAGAGCTTTGATCACACCATTGCGACCACCATTTTGACTTTTTCGCATGAATGAAGCATTTGCTTGAAGTATCTATTCATTTCAGGGAGCAAAAGCGAGACTGGCCAAGCAGGGCAAATGGAATCAAAGCAATGATTAGGGTGGACAGAGTCATCTGAATGACGATCAGCCAGGACTGAACCCAGCAGTGAGGAATAGACTATCTTGAAAGCCACCGAGCCACACTTCAGCCAGCAGGAAATCCAATATGCCAATTGCCAAACTTCAGCTTCCCTTCAGCCGTGCACACGATTTTGGTTTCTGGCCAAAGCAAACCTTTAAAGAAGTTTCCAGGGTAGCATTGTGTTTTCCATCTCTGACTTACTGTGCATCAGTCTTGCTCTACTTCCTTTCTAAACTGAAAGGATTTTATGGCTCCACTCCTTATTTAACAGCCACTTCTTACCAAAGTTCTCACGCAGAGAATTTGATGTGATAAATCACTCCCTTTTCCTGCTTAGGACATCAGAACTCTTATTCTGAAAGGATTTCTCTTTCTTAAAGTTCCAATTCCCTCTTTTTCAGTACCTGCCCAATTTTTCCAATCCAAAAATGTACCCCTCTCAGTTTAGCCCCTTTTTTCTGAAACCCATTCACAAGCCCACCTCACCTACGGAGGAGTTTGGTTGCCAGAATCTGTTTTCTTGCTAATTTTCCTTCTAATGCAAAGACAACAGGACCTTGTCACTAGCCAGGCTATGTTTATGTGAGATGCTTCTTATCCCAGCACTAACACAAGCTCTGTAACACTATATCTGGGGAGACAAAATATGTAAAGATAATAATTTTTTGCACAGTCAACAGAATCCATATTCTTAAAATGATCAAATTGCAACTACAGTGGAACCTCGGTATACGAACTTAATTCGTTCCGTGACTCTGGTCGCACCCCGAATTGGTCGCAACCCGAAGCAA